ATTGGCCTGCAAACTTGCCTGACCTGAACCCCATAGAGAATCTTTGGGGTATTGTCAAGAGGAAGATGAGAGACACCAGACCCAACAATGCAGATGACCTGAAGGCCGCTATCAAAGCAACCTGGGCTTCCATTACACCTGAGCAGTGCCACAGGCTGATTGTCTCCATGCCACGCCGCACTGATGCAGTAATTCATGCAAAAGGAGGCCCAACCAAGTATTGAGTACATGTACAGTAAATGAACATACTTTCCAGAAGGCCAACAATTCACTAAAAAAATTTTTTTTTATTGGTCTTATGAAGTATTCTAATTTGTTGAGATAGTGAATTGGTGGGTTTTTGTGAAATGTGAGCCAAAATCATCACAATTAAAAGAACCAAAGACTTAAACTACTTCAGTCTGTGTGCATTGAATTTATTTAATACACAAGTTTCACAATTTGAGTTGAATTACTGAAATAAATGAACTTTTCCACGACATTCTAATTTATTGAGATGCACCTGTATATTAAGACTATTCCTTGTCTTCTGTCTTATCAGATCACTGCCGTCTCCCAAGTGTGGTGGGAATTTGCCGCGCTGCCTTCCCACGATTTTATTATGATGTCACAAATCAGACCTGCAAGCAGTTCATCTATGGCGGCTGTGGAGGCAACGATAACAACTTTAACTCCCAGGAGGAATGTGAGGCTTCCTGTAGTGGGGTCACAGGTAAATACCAGACTATATTTAGTGAGTGTTAACATTTCAGTTTTATGCAAACCTTTATTATGTAATAGGTTCATTGACCCTAATCCCAAATGCAATGGTGATGGATATACTTTGAGATATTGACCTACTGATCTGTTTTTATAGCAATAGTTCAAAAGTTTGGGGTTGGTAGGGTTTATTTAATGATTGTGAGGTTTCCTACGCTCACCAAGGCTGCATTTATTTGATTAAAAATACAATTAAAAAAAGCAATATTGTGAAATATTATTACAATGTAAAATACTGGATTTCTATTTGAATATATTTTAAAATTTAATTTATTCCTTTTAATACAAAGCTGAATTTTCAGCATCATTACTCCAGTCTTCAGTGGCACATGATCCTTCAGAAATCATTCTAATTTGCTGCTCAAGAAACGTTTATTATTATCAATGTTGAAAACAGTTGTGCTTATTAATATTTTTGTGCAAACCGTGATTGGTTATTTCCAGGATTCTTTGATGAATAGAAAGTTGATTTGAAATGGGAAACCTTTACTGTTGAACTTTTGATCAATTTAATGTCCTTTCTTTTCTTTTCTTTATTATGTAATAGGTTCATTGACCCTAATCCCAAATGCAATGGTGATGGATATACTTTGAGATATTGACCTACTGATCTGTTTTTATAGCAATAGTTCAAAAGTTTGGGGTTGGTAGGGTTTATTTAATGATTGTGAGGTTTCCTACGCTCACCAAGGCTGCATTTATTTGATTAAAAATACAATAAAAAAAGCAATATTGTGAAATATTATTACAATGTAAAATACTGGATTTCTATTTGAATATATTTTAAAATGTAATTTATTCCTTTTAATACAAAGCTGAATTTTCAGCATCATTACTCCAGTCTTCAGTGGCACATGATCCTTCAGAAATCATTCTAATTTGCTGCTCAAGAAACGTTTATTATTATCAATGTTGAAAACAGTTGTGCTTATTAATATTTTTGTGCAAACCGTGATTGGTTATTTCCAGGATTCTTTGATGAATAGAAAGTTGATTTGAAATGGGAAACCTTTACTGTTGAACTTTTGATCAATTTAATGTCCTTTCTTTTCTTTTAATTAATTTACTTGATATTTACTGATTTGGACCTCCTGCTTTAGAGCTACGCTTTTGTGTCAAGCCCTTTTCATTGTTTGGCCATCACAGCGGAGTCGTCTGTACATGTGAAGTGAGTCTACTGAAGTGCAGTGACAAAAACAGGGCATTAGATGACTGACAAAAGGAATCTTCTGTAAGGTGTGGTATTAAGTTGAGTAATTTTATTAGATTTGTTGCAGCACACAGCTGATGATTTGTATAATATGACTCAAAGGATCGTCATACTTTACTTTCATGATTGGAGCACTATATTTATGCACCACACAGTGTGTCAGCACAGCAGCCTTGTTAGGATGTAGTATGCAAGAAATGTGGCAAAATAAAGGCAAATCAAACATCCTGGATTTGAGGCCAGCTGCCATTTGCATCTTAGTTAATGCTTTCATTGGGCATGCAGAGGAAATGCAGATAAATGTAGTGTACTAAAAGAAAAACATTGTTTTATTGAGGATTTTGGGTTTAAATCTCAAAGCACATGCATACTGGTATTGTGAGGCCCATTGCAATCACTGTAAAAGTCACTTGGAAAGGTTTTTAGAGCATATCAGTCTATGATCTGACATGTCTGTGATGATGAAAACAGAGGTTTAGAGAAAGAGACCAAAATATGAGCTTTGGAAAACCATACAACTTTTATTACAGCCTTTCTCCAGTGAAAGTGGGCACAAATCCAGTACCCACATTGTAGTTCGTGGTTGGCTGTGTGCTCAGTATGGTCAGTGTGTTGGTTCACATCCTGCTATATTTGAATGGTGTCGAGTTGATTTCCACTTAGAGTTCGTTCGTAGTAGAGTTCAGCCAGGTAACTTGACATGCGGCCTGTTTTATTACATTACTCTCAGCAAATTCTCAAAGCTAAGCGTATAGTTGTTTTAATTGTATGGGCTGAAATCAAAACTACTTCAGTCAAAGTCAATTAGGTCTTCTTTTCTACAGCTTGGACAACTTCAGTGAGTTTCAGTGGGTTTATGCTGAATGTCTTAACAAATTGGTTTCAACTTACTCTGGGTTGTTGAATAACCGGTTTGGTGACCTCTATACAGATGGATTACCTGTCCTCGACAAAGGCATGACAAACACATTAGCTGTCACTCTTTTTCTTTTACCTCTTTCCTCTTAAGCATTGCATTTAAACATGTGATAGATTTAGACTGAGAAGGAAAGAGGAAAGGGATTTTCAGTTTTCTTTAAGGAGTCATTGTGCTTTGTTCCTGCTGTATCCGAATGACCCTTTGTGATCCGTGGAATTACCAGTTTTATGAGATGAGATGATGTTTAATTGGAAAAAGATGCCATCTGCTTCCAATAGAAACGCTTCGGCAAAATCCTATCATTGTCATCAGGAAATCATACGAAGGATTTTATTTACAACACTCCGGACTGTTTTGTGTTATGCAACGTAATTGTGTGTGTGCCGGTGTGTTTGTGTGAGGGTGTGTTACAAATTGTGCAACCGTGTCCATGAGACTTGCACTAAAAAATTTTTTTTTTATAGAACATTCCTGTTCATTTTCCTTAGAAAAGAAAAGTTTAGTTTGGTATTTTCTTACTGAATTACTGACCCCAGATTTTGAATGGTAGTGTAAGATAAGTAAAAAAAAATTTTAAAGTCATTAATACTTTTATTGCATTCAACTGATCAAAAGTGACATGACTTCTGAGCTTTCTATTCTTCAAATAATTCCTGAAAAAAAGTATTATCAATTCCACACACACACGAAAACTATTAAGCAGCACAACTATTTTTAACATTGATAACAAGAAATGTTTCTTAGGCACCAAATTAGAATATTAAAATGATTTAAAAGGATCATGTGACACTGAAGACTGGAGTAATGACTGGTGAAAATGTAATATAATATATTAAATAAAGTATATTGTAGTAATATTTCATAATTACTGTTTGTACTGTATTTCTTATCAAATAAATGTAGGCTTGGTTTTAAAACATTTAAAAACAAACACAAGGAGTACCAACTTTGAAATGGTAGTGTATGTCTCTTGTTCAGAAATATATAGTTGTATACACACACAGTTTAGTCATTTAAAGTGTCTCTGCTCTCTTCAGTTGCTGTGCCCGAGGATTCTCATTCCGTCTCTCAGCGCAGCAGAATGTCTCAACCTGAAAACAACATTGGTAATCAAATCTGTCTGTTATCAAGATGTCCCAGTGAGACCGGTTATGGCTCAGCTGAAGAGTGATGCTTAACTGACTGAATATTTTGTAAATAGTAAATCATCAGAGCTCTCAACAATCATGCTCAACTAATAATATTGAATAAAATGATCAAATTGGCACTGCTCAATTCTGATAATTGGTAATAATAAGAAATGTTTCTTGAGCAAATCAGCATATTAGAATGATTTCTGAAGAACCATGTGACGCTGAAAACTGAAGTAAGTATTAAAAGTTTGTCTAGGGGTCCAGGACACGTTTACATGGTCGTCTTGAACTAAGCATACTAAGCTTTTACACCGGAGATTGTATTGACATCTTACACTTAAGTATTTTGTCTTTAGTAGTATCCATTTGACCAGGTTCTTGTGACCGATAACAAACAATATTCTGTATCTCTCTCTCCTCAGATGTTGAACCTCTTCCTGAAATGACATCAGAGGAATTCAAGGGTATTTTAGCATTATTTTTCTACTATTTAAATTAAATAGGTTTAACTGGTTTTACATTGTCCACAACTTTAAGCAGAGTACAGTTATACACTATTGGTTCTAATGGCTTCTTCCCATCGTGTCAGCAAAGTGTCTGGCTCCCGCACAGACCGGACTCTGCAGAGCCTCTATTAGACGCTATTACTACAACGATGGCATTTGTCAACCGTTCACCTTTGGAGGCTGTGGTGGAAACGAGAATAATTATAAAACTGAAGAATCATGCATGACCACCTGCACAGGTACTATTGTGTGACCGTTCATTTCCAGATTGCTATAAATCATTATGTAATGATAACTCTGTGTGCTTGCATCGCAGTGAAGGTCATTCCCAGCAGCACGAAGGACCCTGTCGATCCCAATTCTCCTAAGAGCTTTGAAGGTAAAAGGCTAAGAATCTGTGTCAGATTCTATATCAGCTGTTACGAATTTCTGTATTTCAAACATTGCCAGTAATGGAATAGTGTAATGTTTATACAAAATAACCAAAATTTCTTTATCCTGTAACTTAATACAGAAACCTGTGCTGCGCCATCCGACTCTGGCCCGTGCCGTGCAGCCTTCCAGAAGTTTTACTATGAGCCCAGCACTCAGTCTTGTAAGCGCTTCATCTATGGAGGCTGCCAGGGAAACCTAAACCGCTACAGCAGTGAGGAAGAGTGCATGGCAACTTGCTCCGGGAAAGACGGTAAGAGGACAACAGGAATTCTCCTTCCGGTTTTAAGTATGTGTCTTTGTTTTGCTGGTAGCTTATGTTGTTGTATGTCTTTTTCTATAGGCCGTTTTGATGGACGTACACGTAGCCGCTGGACTCCAGGTAAGGCATTGTTAAATACATATGTTTTTTTACTCATTTTCGACATGAGAATACCCAAGGAAGCTGACATGGTGTTAAAGCACCAAACAAACATCCAACCAGTTATAAAATGGATTTTAAGTTCTTTTAATTTATATACCCACACTTGTTTCCAAAAGTTCAAAAGTTTGGGGTCAGTTAAAATTTGTTAAAGAAATTAGCATAGCAAGAACACATTAAACTGATCAAAAGTGATCGTAAAGATATTTATTTACAAATGATTTTTATTTTAAATAAATGCCGTTCTTTTGAACTTTTTATTCATCAAAGAATCCAGAAAATAAATGCATCATGTTTTGCACAAAAATATTAAGCCGCTCAACTGTTTTCAACACTGATAATAATAATAAGAAATGTTTCTTGAGCAGCTGATTTCCGAAAGATCATGTGACAGTATTACTGTTTTTACTGTATTTTTGATCAAATAAATGCAGCCTTGGTGAGACTTTTATTACAAAATTGAACATGTCTTGTGTCTCTCACTCGCAGCCTTCTTCCTAGTGGCCACCCTGGCCATCATGTCTGCCCTACTTCTGGTAGGTTTGATCCTGATCGCAGTGCGCAGAAACTCCCAAACGAGTCTCTTCATATTGGACGATAAGGAGGAGTTACTGCCTACAGAGGAGCAGGTGTCCTATGAGAAGCTGCCCAAAGAAGTTTAGTGTCTGGTACGAAGATCCATCTCATGACACTCCAACATTGAGCTGAATTAAAACTACTAAGTTACATTAAAGTTCCAAGTTAAGAATAAAGTTTTTGTTTCATTATTGTTTAAATGAGATATTCTACACCATTTTTTAACTGTAAAAGTGGGATATGTTGCACTATGATTTGGTGAGTTGGTTGAAATACTCCTATTACCTTCTTTGTCATCTGTCACTTTTTATGGTTATAATCCTACATAGAGGTAAATCAGCTTTCAGGGATGTATTTATTGTCGCAAGCAACAATAACGTCACTTGTATGTATACATTTATAAATTAGAATTGATTTTTAAAGGCTTATAACACTCATGGCACATTTTTAGTGAGAATGATTCGATGTCATCAACATTGAGCTGAATTAAAACTACTAAGTTACATTAAAGTTCCAAGTTAAGAATAAAGTTTTTGTTTCATTATTGTTTAAATGAGATATTCTACACCATTTTTTAACTGTAAAAGTGGGATATGTTGCACTATGATTTGGTGAGTTGGTTGAAATACTCCTATTACCTTCTTTGTCATCTGTCACTTTTTATGGTTATAATCCTACATAGAGGTAAATCAGCTTTCAGGGATGTATTTATTGTCGCAAGCAACAATAACGTCACTTGTATGTATACATTTATAAATTAGAATTGATTGAATTGATTTTTAAAGGCTTATAACACTCATGGCACATTTTTAGTGAGAATGATTCGATGTCATTAATAAGACGTTAAGTCATTAAATCATTGCTACAATCCATAGCCTTGTTCTTTGATTGTAAGCATATAAAAATGCAGTAGATATGAGAAAATACAATATACCATAACAGAAAATGTTTTATATGAACCTATATTATCCTGTAGTATGGATAGACTTTTGATGACTCTTTGCCCACTAATGAATGTCCTGTAACTGTGACCTATAACTGTTTAATTCATATCAGCCTATACTTTTTTTTTTTTTTTTAAAAAGCATTGTTATTTTGAAATCTTCAAGAATAAAGGAAATTTATTCAGTTCGGTTTCTTTCCAAGTACTGATTTGTTGATGTGTAAGCTTGCCAAGAAGCACTAGGGCAGATCGGTGCTAGTCACACGAGGAAGTTGTCAGTATATTTATTTAGATCCAACATTGCCTGTTGGTTTCAAACACCATCTTTGTCAGAAAGTAGGATCATTTTGGGTTTAACCCTTCAAGCTAAAATTCCAGTGTCATTATAGCTCTTGGGTATCTAAGTGAACACATTTAAACCATTAGAGCAAGAGTTAACTATATAATGAAGGTAGATTATATCCAGACGGTCACGACCAAGGGATTTTTCATGAATGTCAGGGGCAGGTTGTCATGTGTGTTATATGTTGTAATGTATTACATGTTTTTTGCATGTTACCTTTTCCGTCTCATCTGTTTCCTGAATTTTATTTTTTTTAGTTAAAATATTAAATGAATCATTTCTGAAGCATCATACTGAAAATTTGGCTTTGTTATCACAATAAATAATATTTTAAAATGTATTAAAATGGAAAACGGTCATTTTAAATGATATTTCTCATAGATTTGCTGGGCAATAACCGTGTGAATGTTAATGAAATTTAAAACTTTTAAAATATGTTCCTAATCAGAAATGGACTTTCAATAAATCAATTTTTTGAAAGTCTATTTCTGATTAGGTAAATATTTTAGGTACTGTTAGAACAAAAAATAGCCCTTAGTTGTCATTCAAATTCACATCTGAATAGCCACTAGGGGGCGATGGTGGATTTGATGGTGGCACAAGTTTTTACGAATACAAGGAAATGCAAAGTTAGTTCTCTATTATTTTGGTTTTGTTTTAATTAATATCACATGTACCACACTCCAATAATGAAAGTGTGTTTTAGATTCTCAAGTCTTTTACTCTGAATGAAAACTGTAAATAAAGAGTCACAGACATGAGACACTTGTGAGAAAAGGAATAAAACCCCCTTAGTATCTAGTAAAACAAAATATGTTTTAAAAATCCATTTTTAACTAAGAATGTGTTTAAATTACCGTTCTATCATGTTTCTAAACAGTTGTTGCTGTATGGGGTAAGGGCACAGTGAACCCCATTTATAATTTGTTAAGAGCAAGTCTCACACACCGAGCAGCATTTGGAATGTAGGTTCTGTCTTTGTCTCAGTAAGCGTAGAGCTCTGAAATTAGGTCATAAAGACCGAGCGATTAGCTCATTGCCCAGTCATGTAAAATCACCCCCTCCACTCACACAGAACAGGCAAAAAAGGAAGGCAGGAGAGCATTACAAAAAGTTTGCCTAACATGGCCAGCTTACTACAAAGTCTTTGTGTGGAGCATTACAAGTTTACCAGGAACAAACTGACTAGGCACACTGAAACACATTCACAGTGAAAGAAATAACTCAAAAGGTCTTCATGGAGGTGTTTTAGAAAACCTAAGAAAGTGGTAGGAATGAGGGGGTCGTGGCTCACACTTAGATCATGAAAGTGCAGTGTGGGAAACGCAGCATGTTTACAGAGCCCCATCCGTCTACTGCGGGGCTCCAGGATGTTGTAAGGGCCCTTTGTGTTTGAGTGTGTATCTGAGCCTTGGCCTATGTAACCCCTGCATGTTGTCAGTGCCCGTGGTCATCTGGTTTCTATCCTGCGTAAGTGTAATTGTGCTTATTTAGTGTGACACCCCTCCTTTCTCCTCCACTCCCTCCTCACCTATCATCACACCAGCTGCCCGACTAACTGCAGCGATGCTCGGCATTCCATGAATGTGAGAGCGCCAAGCCTCCAAATGCACCCAAACACACAATCATCTTGAGTCAAGTTATTGAGTTTTGAAAAGACATTTCTAAACAGATTGCAAAATCTGTCAAACTTTTGTCCGCAAGGAAATGTTAAAAGGTGGAGGGACGTTTTTATCCTAGAGAGCATCTGATTGTGTAACCAACAGAAGAGCAATACAACAACACATCATGAAGAAGAACACAAACTTCAAAGCTGCTAGTTTGAAAATATATCATCTACTCATCTTTCCCGTCAAACCAGGAGCTTTAAAGTTTGTGTTCTTCTTCATGCTGTGTTGTATTGCTCTTCTGTTGTTCACAAGTCTTCAAGTGATACAAATTCGCAGGTCAAAGTTCACAAAACTTGAACTTTGGAATGCAGCGAAATTCTAATGCCCTCAAGTTTCCATTCTCCCACATTTGCATGTGATTTATTTTCTTAAATTGGATCATGGAACTTCGACCTCTCTATTGCCATCTGTGTTTTAAACATAAAATTACATGTTTTTTTTTATTTTGGCACAAAGTGTATATACTGTATATATAAATAACAAATCTTTTTAGTTGACGTATAAAAGCAGTTATCTGGTTTTCTCACCTGTGGTGAGTTAGTTGTTCGAATGTGTTGTTTACCCTAGTAAAACTCACAAGCCCTTTCACCGCTGCATCAGTTCCTCCACTGCAGCCCTCTGCACCTCTGAGGCCTGTCACCACGTCTCTAGTGCCTGACAACAGACTACACTGAAAAACACCAGAAGACCAACACAAACCACATCTGACTCAAAACAGAGGTAGAGAGAGAATGACACAGGAGAAAGACACTGAGAAGACATGTCATGGATCTGGAAAGACGGGGTTAAGATAAATGACATAGGAGAAGAAGAAAGAGTGCAGTGAGAAAGCCACTGCTGATGATGTCATGGCTTTGGCTCTCTAGAGCGTGGAGAGGGCCGGGCCTGAGTGCAGTGCTGGGGGGTGGGGGCCGTGGATTGGGTCCTGGCGGAAAGGGGGACTGTAATTTGAGTGACCCCCATCTCAAATTGAAAGCAGTTGTGAATTCTCTCGAGGGTAAAGTTTAACAATCCAGACTCAGTTCATGGTTCCCACGACACAGTCCGACCTCCCTCCTCACTCCATCCCGATGTCCATTCTTTCTCTCGTTCCTTTCTAAAGTCACTAGTCTCCGTGCCTATAAATGGGAAGTCTGGTGGCAGTTTCGAGGAACGGTCTGCACTGAAAAAGGCAATAAGGACTCACGGCATCCATGCTTATTAAAAGAAATCTGGAGATTATAAAATGCCTCTGAAATGGAAAATAGTTGAGGCAGATAATTTAAGAGACGGTTGGGTGGCTAGACCGCACCCACCTTGTTTTTCTTCTACTTTATTTATCATTCTATGGTAGTCTTTATATTTCTTAGGAAGACAAACGCCTTTCTATTTCAGCATCTGGGTCAACAATATGGCACTTATTTATTTTTTGTCGCGATTTAATCATTTAACCAAATGTACCTTAAAAATGCAATTCTCATGCAACGATTTAAATGTTTTTGATTTATGAATTTAAATTTATGTTGATATTTCTCAAGGGACATAAAGTCAAATGTCCTGAAATCATAATAATGGAAAAAAAGCCTAATTAAGAGAAGGAAATTAGTCAAGTCAAGTGAGCTTGTCATTCCACCAGATATGGAGACATACAATGGAATAAAATGTTGTGCCTCACAGGACCACGGTGCTACACATGTTAACATGAACAAATGTGGGCATACATACATAAGACATGAAGGTATCTAAACATATAACCTATATAGATCTACACATACATAGCCTATATAAACAGTAAAAAAAACTATATAAACCTACACATAGGTTTGTGCTTAATGCTTTACATAAGTACTTTAGATGAACCTAAATGCTTTACTTAAGTACTTTAGATAAAACTTAGACATACTTGGATTTACATGGTACAAACATAGTGCTGTGGTACATATTAGAATGCAATAGACATTCAGGGCAAAAACACTGCAAACAGGGAGAGTGCAAGATTAAAGAGAAAACATTTTTTTAAGTGTCCATGCAGTGCATATATATATAATTTTTCTAAAGAAACACTGCCAAACAGCGACACCAGCAGGTAAAGTTACAGTGGGAGTCAGTGACTCTCTTGCCTCCCCCGAGCCCATTGAGTTTTAATAGACACCCTGAAGCATGCGGTGGGTTTAGTGGGGGGTAATTGAGAATGAATGGGGAAAAGTCACGTGAGAGATGGCAATGCCTCCATCGCGATATGATTGAATATGACTGGTTATGATGGGCTGTGATTGATTCATGCGATAAATCCCACCTCTTGTGTTTGTGTGCACTCTGTGTTCGCGAATCAGTCTGTCTGAATGAACAATATAATGGCGTTAATGGGAAGGCTAATTAAACAAAGTAAGTAAACAACTCACACACTTAGATATAATCACTTTGTAACGTCAAAGACTTGGAATGGCCTGAAAACA